GCCTTAATGGACTTTTGCTAACATCAGGACTGAAATGATGAGGTTTTATGGATTTGTTTATAGATAAGAGATAAGATATGGGAAGAAGAGATCATTTGTTATATTTTAAGATAAGGTGATAAGTCACTAAAATTGTTTATACTTGTGATGAAGGGGAAGTAATTTATTTACATATTTCTTTTCTTTTTCTTTACTATATTCTTATTTTTTCTTTCTTTTCTATTTTTCTATTTTTTCCTTTTCTGCACCTTCTATTTTTTTTTCATTCTTTTATCTTTTTTAGTTTGTATTCGTTTTTATTGTTGTAAATTGTGATATTTAATAAAATTACTGTTAAAAAAACCAGAAAGCCAGAATTGATAAAAACTTGGGAGCTGCTCTGGTTTCCTATATAAACAAAATTTAATAATGCAAACAAAATGCCATACTCTGGAAAATGAAAGAAGGTACAGTGAAAAATCTTGAGTGCATGAAAAGGCAGTTCATCTTAGAGATCATTGTCAAATTCTACTAACATTATCTTTGTCTTGCAATTAACAGAAATTCATCTCACTTGTCAAACAAAACAAAAATTGCTTGTTAAAATATGTCTGTATTACTTCCTCATGCAGCAAATTGATGAAATATGGCGTGAAATGAGGTGGATCAATGAAGCACTGCAGTATGCACGGTATAGACCAACAACGTCTGGCTTACCAGTCATGAAAATTTTGGATCTCTCAGAGGAACCCCTGCAGAAGAAAATAAGCTCAACATCCTCCCATCTCGACTGTCTTCCATCCCCACCTCCCTCTCCAGAGATGGAGATACAAAGAAGAAAAGCAGTGAGTGGTAAGGGGAAAATATTTTCATCTCTTTCATCAAGGCACAAAGTTTCCACAATTTTTGATTCAGTAGAACATAGTCACAACTGTAAGCTAGAGCTGCCTGGAGAACTCAAGGCAGCTGTGTTATGTTTGCCACTGGGTTTGGCATCTCTATGATAGATCTCCATTCCTGACATATTATTCAGTAAAATTAACCAGGGAAGCATTATCCTTCTGAAGTGTTCCCTTCCCTAACTTGGCATCATCCAAATTTGCCTCCTAGAATACCCCATTAGTGTGATCAATGTAGAATTAGCACAACTCATGTGATGTATTCTAATCAGTATTACAACTGTTCTGCTTGAATATCTGTGGGTATGTAATCTCTGAGTCTGATCTATACAGTGTAGATATGGATATGGATATGGATACAGTAGATGTATAAATTTTACAAATCCGCAATTTCTTCATCTGAGTGCAGAATTTGCAAAAAAAAAAGAATTGGGACACTTTCACATCATTTTCAACCCTCAGAAATATTTCCACACTGCACCACAAATCTCTCCATTGCCACTAGTATTACTTTTGCTAGCCATTGGTGGAACATTAAAATAATCATCCAGCTATTGCCTTGTTCTCAGTTGTTGTCATGTACACGTATGTGTTTTAATGACTAGAGCTGATCCTCTACTCAGTAAGCCCAATAACGTGAGCACAAAAACTCCTAAAGGAAGCCCAGTGAAATTGTAGGTCAGCAAGACAGTTTGACCTCAGGGTTGGAGGGTGAGCCCATGAACTCAGAGACTAAGACTTTCTCCTAGTCCAACATAAGAATTAATGCTGTAAAATTGTTCTAGTAAGGTTTTCTTTAGTCCCATGGCTGAGTCAGAATTTAACTGGCTTAGCTACAAAAGGACAACAATAGGTGCTCAACAGCTTGGTCTGTGCAGGAGCGGGACTTATTTCTGATCAGAGAGAGCACTGGGAATGCAAGTACTTTCTGCATATACCTAGGAATTTGGAGCACAGCTGAAGGACAGAGAGACTTGGTTAGAACTTCAGACAAGGTCTGGGAAGCATTAAGTGGCCCGGAAAATATAGACCTGGGTAATCACATATTGTGCAGTCTTTCTTCTCATTCTTAGAATGCTCATGTTTCGTCCAGCTGCTTTTTTCTTATTACAGAATATCCACAAAGAAGGAAAGACAGAATAGCTGCACAGTGTCTTCTGACCGGTAGCACTGTGGGGTCCTCCATCTGGAAGCATCCTAGTTATTTCACCCTGTTTTGAAAAACTGCAACTAAACTTGTTTCTTTGTTCACCTTGGAGAGTATTGTATAGTATCCAGTTTGCTGAGCTGAGTATCCGGTCTCAACCGGATTTTCATTTGCTTCCAGGTTTATAAAGTGCTTCTGGGGGAAACTTCGGCACTCTCTGGGCAACAAACAGCACAATTGTATCTTCTGAGCACTGGCATGGGCAACTGGTGGCCTTCCAGGTGTTGTGAAACCCCAGTCAATCCTATCAGCATGGCTGATGCTGAGGAATCATGGGAATTCTAGTCCAACAGCATTGGGAGGGCCACATGTTGTCATCCCCGACCTCTCAGCTATCTTTGACTCTGTTACTCCTACTTCTGCTGGATTCCTTTCCCCAGTGCTTGTGACCCTGGAAAATAATAATGAATTAATGAGACATTAGAATAAAATGCAGAAGCAAGAAGGCAATACAAGCCTTTGGACATGTATTTTATTTGGCTTTAACTCCATACCTTGAAGAGCAATTTTTGATTTGTCTGATATTGAGATTTTACAGAGTTATATTAAATTTTATGGGGAAGCAGATTAATATTGCCCGTGAGCTATAAGGATCTGTTTGACATTCAAATGCCCTCCATTTCTTGGCTGCATCTAGGAAATCCATTCAGATGACCTAAGAGATGGCAATGCAACCTAAATGAATCTAGAATCTGGACAATCTCTTTATTATGTTATCATATTATGTTATCATAACAAAGACCATAAATCAACACTCCACTCGAATAATCCTTTTATCCATATAATCCTAATAATTGCTTTACTTTAAAATGTAAGAATAACACAGAATAGTGCCTTGGCAACCAGATATCAGATATAAGAGGAAGCATGTCCAGATTTGTTCTAATAGAAACCAGAAATGTGAAGTGAGTTTTCAGAGAGCAGGACAGCAGAGCAAATTAATTGGCTTTCTCTTTAGAGCTCTTGTGTCAAGAACTTCCAATTAGTTCTGACTAATATTTACTAAAGTTAGATGACCTCATAGGCTTCTGTCAATGGAACTTGTGGTGTATACAGGCACAGCGTAACACCAAATATTAATCTCTGTGACAGATCTTCTCAAGGGTCTTCCCTCCAAGGACTACCCTGGATTTTACACTAGCCAGCTACAGTGAGGCAGTTCACAGAATAACACCAACATAAAGAAAAAAATTACCAACAGTACTTGGAGTCTTACAGTTCTCCATCTTCTTTTCCACAGAAGTTTGCAGAATTTTTTTTTTTAAAAAGCCTCCATCAAACACTTGAGGCCAGTTAGGGATATAAAGTTATCAGAAAGCATGAAAGCCAAACACTATATCAAGCCATCAAGTGTTTCCATGATGGCTGGAAAGGTATCGGTGGAAACCCACAAGCAACAGCCATCCACATTCCCAGGAAGTGATATGGAGTAGTATTTCTGTTATTGAGGGTAATATACAGCCATCAGAACTAGTTCTTGCATTTATTTTATTTTATTTATTTAAGGAATGTATATGGCCACCCAGCTCACTCATGGTTGCATGCTACTGTATGCTTTTATCTTTTTATCTTACCCCCATTTGGGCAATAAAGTATGTTTTCAGTACACTTTATGGATGATTCATCCCAAACTTCCCATTTTTCTCAGGGATAAGTTTAAAACTACCTCTGCCCCCTTTTTTTAATGTGAAGTGCCACCAATCTGGTTTCATTCCATTTTTGCAGAGCCGCCCCCCCCCCCATATCTTACAGACCCTATCTTATAGGGTACCACATGCACATGTTGTACATGTCAGAATAGGACATTCAAGCTCATTATTCCAAGTGCCACCAATCTGGTTTCATTCCATTTTTGCACAACCCCCCCCCCCCCCCATATCTTACAGACCCTATCTTATAGGGTACCACATGCACATGTTGTACATGCATTCAGTTGAAGTTTTGAGTTGACTATTCAAAACGTACATTGTTATTCTCCAGATACATCCACTTGGGGGCTTTTACATTTGGCAGAAGTCCTTTAAGACGCACCTTTGCAGTTGTTATTTGGGTTCTTATTTGAGTAGTAAAAAATTGGGGGGGAATTATCTGTGGCTTCTAAGCTCCATATCCCTTCTTTAGAGGAAACTGGAAGAAGTAGATTAAACTGATATTAGGTATTAATGTGGAATTTTGGAATAATGAGCTTGAATGTCCTATTCTGACACAATCATCTGAGCATTAAACAGTGTGAAATTGATTTCCTATGGTCTTAAAATGAGGTTAGTATAACAGCAACAACAAAAATGTTTAACATATGCTGTGCACCATAGAGAATGTACAGTAAGGGTTGCATACCATCCTCTTGATATTGGAAGCATAACTCAGGAGTTAAAACATTAATCCATATGGTTTGGTCTTGTTTTGTTATTGTTACATTTGAGGATGACATCAACAGAATTATTAGCATGATTCTGGATCAATCACTGTTTATGTGAAAAATGTTTATGTTCTTCATGTGTATATTTCTGGGACTTGCAGTTTATCAAAATATAGTATCAAGAATTATGGATGGGGGGCATGGGAGTTGGTTAAAGAATTATTATAAATCATGCAAATTGAAAACATGGAATGCAAAATATATAATGCATACACTTGCAGCAATGAATTGTAGATATACGTTCTATGTTGACATTTGAATTAGTCTTTTTCAACAAAGGAGCAAGGAAGACTTTTGAGTAATATGGTCAAAGTGTTTTGGACTCATTCTGTTTCTAACATAATTCCCAGCCCTTTATTTCTTTTTCCTTTTCCTTTCTTTTTTCCTTGTTTTGAATTGTTATGCTGAACAATTTTGAAATTGTGTTTATCTTTTAGTGCTGTTATCTTTTTTTTTTATCCTTTTCTTTTGTTGATTAGTTTAGCAAAATAAAATATTTTGAAAGATGCATTTCTCCCAGGGTATCTGTGCTTGGTGAGCATCAGGGATACACTGGTTGAAGGCTACCCTGATGTAATGGTATTGTGATGCACCTGACTGTCAATATAACTTTGTCAGAGGGTTCACACTGTCAGCAGAATAATGGTAATATGATGGAGAATGAACAGGCTGATATGAAACCCTTTTATCTTTTAGAGTCCATTCCTGGCCCTTCCATCATCATTTCATACTAATAAAGCAGATGATGTATGTTAGCCTTCCCCAACTAGTGCCCTCCAGATGTGTTGGATAACAAATATCATTTCTAGTTGGAAGAGGGCCAGGCAGGGGAATGCAAGTGTAAGTTATCACTGTCCTACTAAGCACAGTGGGGGTATTAATGTTCCATTGAACTCAGTGGCCACTAGGAATCCCTACTCTTCTACCTCCTTCCATTCTGCCCAATCTGTCATGGCAGAATATCTATATCTGTATCCATGCACAGCATACAAATGCAGAAGCACATAATCAATACAGAATACTCTTCACTTCCCCACCCTCCAGTATGTAGTTCAGGTAACAAGTTGATATTAATTATTTCCCATGTCATGCACACCGAAAACTGAGACCTGCACATAAAAACAGAGCCTCTTTCACAAACAGCCTAGCATCAGAATAAATCTACTGTCGGAAGAGCATGTGGCTAATGTTTGCGTTCTGAGACTGAAGACTTGTTTTTATTTTGGTTCATTTTTTTTTCCAACGCTTGTCTAGTCTCTCCGTTTTTGTGTTGGGAACAGATGCGGTGCTGAGTGGCATCACGTACCAGCCTTGGGACTTTCCAAAGAATCCAAGCCCTTGCAGCTGGCAATAACTCCAAAAGGTTAGACCAGCTGTCTAGAGTCAGGTAGTCCAGAAAATGCAGGAAGAACAGCAGCAAGCTTTCTGTGCTTTTCCCCTTTAGTAAAAAAAGTTCATTCCTTTCTGAATAATAACAGGGCCCAAGGATTATCTGATGGGCCCAAGGATTAAGCTAAATTAATGATGGATCAGAAGCTTGGAGGAGGCCTGGGAAGCCTCTCCCGAACTTTTTCATAATCCCTTTTAGCTTCCCAGTGTCGCAGGTTCCAGCCTCACCTTCCTTCCTTGAGGCTCTGACGGCCAATTTTTCCCATCAAGATCTGAGTCCTCTCTGCGTGGATCTGTCCATCCATTTCTCTTTTCTTGTTTAGTGGCACCTGCAATTGATATTTGGCCCCAGAAGTGGAGTTAGTGCTTGGACCTCTTATTCCATACAAACAACTCCCTTTTCACATTGGACAAGCAGGTCTGCTGTACCGTGGAACCCAAATCTAGCACATAAGATTGCAGTTTTAATTCTGTCTAGTTTAACACGCTTACCAAAAAAAAGTATGCAACCAACAGTAATATAATCAAGTCTTGTGATAAAATTAAACAGAAAACTCCATTATTAAATAAAGATAAAATAGTCCTTTGAACAGGATGTGGTCCAATTTAATGTAGTTAAAACTGTGCAGAATACAGTATGCAAATCATTCAGATTCCAAATAATTGCATTTTGCTAGATTCTGTTTTAACCTATTTGTTTTAATGTTAGCGGAATTTAGCATGCAGGATCTAAATGAATAACAATAGTGGTTAATCATACCTTTTGTTATCATAAATTTCAGAGTAGAGCTTATACACATTTCCATTCAGACTACGAGCATTGCAGAGTTAGGCACTGCTTAAGACCTGCTTTTGCTCTGAAAATACATCTAGCACAACAGCCATTCATTTGGCATTCTTCTAATGGACCTCTTGTTTTCTCATATGTTGCCACAGTTTCAAAGCATGCAAATGTGAGGTATAGTTTTAAGCAAGCCTAAAACTATAAGGGGGCTGGACAACTGAACATGCAAACTGATAGAGAAGTCAATAATGCATAAAGCCAATAACTCATGGTGAAGTTATCTATCAATCCAAGGTCCATGCCAGAGTTTCAAGCAAGAGATGAAGCATCAAACAAAATCAGTGATCAAAAGCAGATGCAAGAGTTGGTCCAAGAATCAAAAGCCAAGATTTCACTAAACCAGGATAACTCAAGAATAAAAGGGTTACCATTTTGGGGCTGAAAAATATCAGAATGAATGTTCTAATGTTCACAGCTCAGAAATGGTAGCCCTGTCAGAAGATATTGGCTGAATTCATGTATCACACTAAACCATAGTTTTAAATCATGGCTTATTGAATAAGCCATATTGACTAGATTCACCCATAAAACTAAGCTACAAACTACACTTCATAAACCACAACAGATGGATTCAGTCACCCCATTAAGCCAAAATTAAACAAACTATATTCTGGTTTAAGACATGTCAACCAAGTCAATGTTTATAGCAAGTAGTAGTTTAAAGAGAAGGCTGAGCTATCAGAACTCCATAACAGGCTCAGTTGTAGACCCTTAAAAAGGGCTTAACAAAAAAAAAAAAAAAGGCTGAATAAGACTTTTACTCAGAAGCAGAGATCGTTCCTGAGGAGAATTTTTCCAAAAAAGTCCCCCCTTGTTTTTCTTACAATGG